GAAACACCAAGCATTCTTCAAGGGGGAGGGTTGGAGCAAGGCTGAGCACCTGGGCTTTGGTACCACAGCTTCAGGCTAATGTCCTCACCCTGCCGCTCCCTGTGGGTGAGCTTACTTCTCTGAGCCTGTGCTGCTGCATCTGTAAGGTGGGCGCAATTCAAATAGCAGGACTTGCCCTGAGGGTTAGAGATGGTGGAGGTAGGGCCTGCAGACCTTCTCACACCCAGCTGTCAATGAAAGGAGGTGTTACTGTTATTATTATTGTATGTTTTTTTCCAGATGGTCAAGTCCCTTATAGAGCTCTGGTAACAATTTTCCATCTATAAAACACAGAAGGCAGTGCTTTTCTCTTAGAGCAGGAATGGCAAACTAAGACCCCTGGACAGAAATCTGGTTTGCCACCATTGTTGTAAATAAAGTTTTATTGAAACACCACCGTGCCTTTTGCTTGCATGTTCTCTACGGCTGTTTAGGCATTACAGTGGCAGAGTTGACTAGTTGTGACAGAGGCTAGGTGGCCCCAAAGCTGAAAATATTTAATGTCTTGTCCTTTACARAAAAAGTTTCCTTGACCGTGTCTAGAGGGTTGTGTTGGAGCTACCTACATTCTTAGGTGTRTAGATTTACATTTATATCTACAGAGCTCAAATACACAGTGCCTGGCACACCGCAGAATCCCAACAAATCTTTATTTCCTCTTCTCAACTTAATTCTGCTCAAGAATACACAGGATCGTATCTGAAAAATGCAGAGGCAGACACATTTGTATTTTTATTGAATTCTATTTCTCTCTCATTTTCAGAAGAAGAGCTCATGTTTAAAAAAAATTCTGATTGGCACTATAAACTTTATTTATGCTTTAATGTATCCTAAAGTATGTATCCTGCACTATTTTTGCTTCCCTTACAGATGCTGATATGCTATACATTACCAAATCCAAATGGATTTTTCAAAATCCAATTTCCTTGCTACAGTTTCCCATTTCTCTGTTGACTTTTTACGCTTGACTCACATCAGAGCATCTGGGGCCTTTGCCACATTTCGACCTCAACTGGCCCAGGGAGATAGCTCTTCTGTTTAGGTGTCGCTCTTCTGTTCAGGGTCCTTGGACAGCGGCTGTCCTTCCCTGTCCTGCAGTTATCGGGGGTCTTCATTAGACCAGGTTGTGCCCTCGGAAGGCAGAGCCTAGCTCCGGGGGGAGAAGGCAGGATTTTTGTTTCCYACAAACATGATGGTGGTGAGGTTGACGTGGGTTAAATGGGGCCACCTGCTCCTCCTACCTGAATGGGCTCAGCATCCCAATGAGTTTCCTTAGGAAACCTCTCCAGACATCCGTCTTCCCYTGAACACAGRCAGCCATGGTKGGGCCATTTRTTTATTTTTTTTCTGATCAGGTATTGTGGCTTCTAAGAATTGTACCAAAAGAGAAGCCATTTTTGGAAGAACCAGAGGCTCAGTGGTGAGATCCAGGGTTTGAATATTTCCTGCTTTATTTAGTCCAGGGGCAGCATGGCTTCCCTTTCTTCTCCTCCCTCCTTGGCTCCAAGTGGCCCAGATGTTACCGTCCGGGCTTGGGCTGGAGGCGTGGCTCTGTGTCTCTGTCGTCCCTGAGAGTTCCCAGTTCCTTTTGAGGCTCGGGMACTTTAGACCTTACAACGGGAGGTTTCCTTATGGTCACCTTGTCCCTGCAGCCCAGGAAATGATGGCTCAGGCGTGGGCAGGACCGTGGGCTAGGAGGTTGTGCCCCTCTGGCAGTGCAGTGCCGATGGCGGTCAGGTTCTACGATCCGGAGCTCACAGCCACTCTGTTTCTCAATCGGTTGACCAAGAGGAAGAAAACCCAGGGGTGACTTCTTGAAAAATACTCAAGTGTATTTTCGCTCCTGAAGAGTTTTTAACACTTGTCTCGGAATCAAGCCAGACCATCAGGGTGTGGGGTACCTAGATTGTGTCTTTGGGGTCCCAGTGAGTTGCTCTTCCTTGTGTGTGTTTGGGTGATGCTATCGATTTATATCGAAGAATGATTATAAGAAACATTTCCATGAGATGGGCCATGCACTTGGGATGTGGATGTGACTTCAGATATGGGGTGCTGTTTCATTCCTGGATGTGAGGTTTTTGTTACAACAGTCCCTGCAGAGGAGCCTTGTCTGATCTAAACCCTTGGACTGGTTGTCATTTTCCTGAGTGATCTGATGTTTATTGCATGAACACAGTGTCCGGTACCTGGCCAATTTTTCCATTTAATATTGGGTGTCAGAAGCTCAGAGTCAAACCTATCCCCCCCCGCCCTTTTAGCAGATGGGCGTGAGGGAAATTGCAGCCCGGATTTGTAACTCCCTCCTCTGTCCTGCTTCTCTTTCCTTTCCTGTCCTCAATTTGATTTTTGTCACCACGCTGTACTTTTCGGCTTCTATATTTATCAGGCTTCTGCAGCTGCACCAGTGACCAGTTAGACAGCATCCCTTTAATGTTGTTTTGCTTTGGATCTGAGGTCTCTCCTCCCRAAAAGCTCGTGATTGGCAAGGGAGCAATGTTCAGAGGTGAAACAGTGTCATTATGAGAGCTGTGATCTAAACAGTAGATTAATCCATTTGATTAATAATTGGGAAGACTACTGTGCTGGGGAGTAACTCCAGGCAGGTRGGGCGTGGCTGGAGGAAGTAGGTCATCGTCATGGGGGTGTGCTCTGGGGTTTTATATTTTGGCCCTGGCACCTCTCTTGCTCTCTCTGCTTCCTGGCTGTTATGACCTGAGCAGCTTCCCTCCACTGGGCCCTCTGCCATGAAGTTCTGCCMCACTTCAGGCCTAGAGCAACGGAGTTGGCCAACCAGGAACGGAACCTCTGATACCATGACCCAAATAAACTTTTCCTCCTCTAAGTTGTTCTTGTTGGGTGTTTTGGCCMCAGCGATGAAAAGGTTGATTAACACAGAAAATGGAGGTCTGGGTTCTAGGATGACATCATCTCAGAGGGAAATTACATCCATCCCCAGCTGTAGTTCCTGCATTTCCTGGAGCCCAGGAATGAGCCATATGTCCTAAGATTCAGATGACAGTGTGATCAAGTGCAGGACAGGCGCTCGTTTCCAGAAAGTCTTCTCTAAGAGACACTGAAGTCCCTTTGAGGGATGACAGATGCTGCAGAGTGGGATAGAAATGGCAGCAGGGTCTGAATATCCCAAAGAAATAGTGGCTCAAGGCAGCTTTTGACTCCATGCTAAGTGAGCTCTTCCATCCATTTSGAGGTCCTCACCACAGGAGACCTGGAACCCCAGTGTCAAAGGTCAGACTGTCGTAAGGGGAACGTGTTTGCTGCAGAATGAAATGAACATCATAGCTCAGCAGMTGGAGGCAGCATGTAGCCTAGGAAATGTCTGTGAAGCGGAGATGTGCCCCTGGTCATTCGGGGAATAAGACCTGACAGCAGTCAGCTCGGGGGTGACTGCCTACCTATGATTGTGCAGGGTTGGGTAGGTGAAGCTCAGGGCTTGGAACAACAGGTGATTGTGCCGTTAGCATTTATTGCCTGCCTAAGATTCGCTTGGTGCTGTCTTGGTCCCTTTGTGCTGCTAAAACAAAATACATGAAACTGGGAAATTTATAAAAATAGAAATTTATTGCTCCTGGTTGCAGAGGCTGGGGAGTCCAGGATCAAGTTTCCAGGAGGTTCCGCATCTCGTGAGGGCGTTTTCCTAGATGGTGCCTTCTCCGTGTCCTCGTGTGGCAGAAGGAGCAAACAAGTTCCCTCAGGCCTCTTTTATAAGGGCATGGATTCCATTCATGAGGGCGCTCCTAATCACCTCCCCAAAGTCCCACCTCTTAACACCATTGCATGGAGACTGGGGGGTAGGTTTCAACATATCAGTCTTGGGGGGGGACATGAAGACTTTCAGTCTGTTGAAGATGTCATTCTCTGKATGGTGGGGAACAGATGGGCATGTACAGGAGTGGGAAGGTGATGTGATGATGTCTCTGAGCATAAGGGGACATCAGAGGGACAGTGTGGAGTGTGTCTGGGAGACYGGCCTGCAAGCTGCTGTGGGAATCGGACCTGCTGCCACCTCCTGCCTTCATACATTCGGTGGGCCCCCCTGGACTACCTCCAGGGAGAGGCTCCCGCTCTTTAGAGTCCTGTTAATTCTCCTCCACTTCTTCCCCTCCCCCCTCCAGAACATCTGCAGGYACCTGTTTCTCTGGGCACACCACCCTGTCCTAGCTGGAGACTCCATTCTCTATCCCACGTCTTTCATTGTCACCTCCCGGGGACTTTTGGCCCAAAGCATATGCTTAGTGAATCCTTGTCATGTTGAGTGAACAGCTTACTGTCAGACGGTGGATGGCTCGAACTTCAAGTTCAAAGGAGAAGCTTCACACGTTATCAGCATCCACTTTCCTGTGTTCTTGGTGTACRCTCATTTAACTTCTCACCAATGCACTTGCTGCTCCACGGAAACGTGGGTTTTCAGAACGAGTTCACAGAGAAGGAGGTGGGCATCAAGACCATATTCTGTGCCGCTGGCTTTTCCTATTTTAATTCATTTGATGGTATTTCCCTCCACGTTACAGGTGTGGAAACTGAGACGTGGGCCAAGCGTGCACAGCTTTGCAAACCAAGGCATGGGTCCAGCTCTGCAGCTAATGCCCTTCCTGCTGCCTCGAARCATCTCTCCATGTTGAAGGAGCAGTTACAGAGGCATGCCGTGGCATTCATCTTTCCTACTTAGAATGAGATGTTGCTGTTTACTTTCTCAGGAAGGAAGATTGAAATCAATGTAACGAGCCTTATTAACTTTTTAAAACAGGGGGGCCTGCAGATGCGAGTGCCCTTCCTACGAGCACCAAAGCAAATATAAAAATCCAATTTGCTTGTCTTTTTTTTTTCTTAGTCTTCTTCAGAGTTTAAAATGCAAAGCYGTAAATGAAGAACCCATGAGACAAGGGTGACAAACCCAGCCTCAGACGCGGGGATGTATTGACCAATATCTCTTCTGTTTGCAGGTGGCTGTTCCTTTGATGAGCACTACAGCAACTGTGGATATAGTGTGGCCCTGGGGACCAATGGGTTCACCTGGGAGCAGATCAACACGTGGGAGAAGCCAATGCTGGACCCAGCAGTGCCTACAGGTATGCCGTCTGTCTCTTTCGGGGCTGTAATGGGGAAGAAATTGCTTATGGATCGAATTGTCTGAAAGGGACTAAGATAACTCCATAGAAAGTGAGTTTCTCATCCTCAGAKAAGTTCAAGCCATGACTGAGGGAGTTCTTCAGGATGTAGAGAGAGTCACGTATCACCTGGATTTAGGGATCTTTAGGGTTTCTTTTACCTTTGAGATTCTCGYTAGTCCTAGGGTGTCACTGGGTTTTGCTTGGGAATCTGATAGTGTTGGGATTTGGGAGGGAAGGAAGATCCGGGGATCTGGGGGAGGATTTGAAGTCTGCCCCTTTCTCCAGGCTGCACAGACACGGGTTGCAAGTACATAAGGAAAATTCTTCAGTGAGAGCATCACTCCAAAAGTCAGTGTCCTGACCTTCTGAATACCCAGCCTGTCCTCAGTCAGTGGAGCCAAGATTCCAGTGCAAACTCCTGATGGCCGTCTGCATGAGGCGGGCTGAGGAGAGGGACAGCTGGTGCATTTTAGGGGGAATACCCAGAGCAGACGTGCTCATTCTCAGGGAGAACACCTGGGGACTGGGGTACCCCTGGAGGAGGTGCATCTTAAAGAGGTGAGACAAGGTAGCAAGAATTGCAACCCTGGGAAAGTTAAGAGCTCCCTCTGGCCCCGCTGGGTTGGCAGGTGGAGAGGGCGRCTTCTCTGTGGGTCCTCTGGGCCGAGGGCTCCCACAGCCCACCCAGTCCTGGTTTCCCAGCAGCCCCTCTTGATGCTGGCCCTTGCTTTTCTTTGTCTTCTCCTTGGCTTTCTCTGACCTTTAAGCATCTGTGTTCTTTGGGTGGCTCTGTCCTCTTTCTACCATGGGCCTCGCCACTCCCCTGGCTTCTGATGCTGTCTGTCCCCTGGTGATTCCAACATTCACGACTCCAGCCCACATCTCTTATGGGCTTTAGACCTACACAGCCCACTGTCCAGTGTCTTCTCGGCCACCTCTGGTGAAGGGGATTTTCCAGGAGGCCATTAAGTTGGGGGCAGAGAAGATGCTTGGAGATGTTCAGCTGAGGGTGTGGCCTCATGGACCAAAGCAGAAGGCCCCTGGATGGCTCTGCATAGAGGCTGTTGAGGGTACGGATTGTGTAAGTTTCTTTTGAGTGTTAGTGTAAGCCTTGGGAAGGATGAAGGTGTGCTGTAGTATGAAAAAGAGCATTTCAGATCTGGTAGCTTCTTGTTTCATTTAGTGAAGTCATCCACAGCTGCATGTGCCCATGAGGAAGGTGACGTGGAGCAACCTCTGCAGCTGTTGTCCTATCAGGATTTTTAACCAGGTTGACTTTAACCTCAGAAGTGCCTGGGTTTAGATGATACTCGTTCCTCCTGCTGGAGACACCAACAGCCCCAAATACCTGTACTTTGAGCATGTCACATGTTCTCTGCTCTGCTGGCCATCTTTGATATTGGCTGAATAAATCTGGATCCTCTAGTGTGTGTTATGTGTGTGCATGCATGTTGACACGTGTGTGCATGTGTAACGTGTATGTGTGTAGGGATGTGTGCATGAAAGTGGACGTGTGCCTGCTCTTTCTGCTCATCTTTGGCTCACCCGAGGCCCTGCAGGGTCTTGTAGGCTTCTCCAGCTCAATGTCTCCAAAACTGAGCTCTTAATCCTTCCTTCCTCCTTCCCTGTCTCCTCAGTCCCCAATGTTCCTTGTCCTGGGAAAACCCGCTCCACCCACTCGGCCGCTGATTCACAACCCAGAGGGCAGAGTTCTTTTGTCAAGTCACTGCTTCACCCCCTGCCTTACCCCTTGAGTGCATCTTGGGTGTTTCCAAGCCTCTCTGTCTCTGTACCACTTGCTGGTAGAGAGCTCCCCCGGCTCTTTCCTGGGTAACTGGAGAACTTTCTAAGAGGCTTCTTGACTTTGATTCTTTCTCTATCCAGAAACCAAAGAGGTTATCCTAGAATATCAGCCTGTGCCTGTTCCYTCTTCCCTACCAGGTCCCTATCCAGTTTCTGCTTAGAGTCCTTCTGTGGCTTCATTGCTCTGAGGAGACCAGAGCCCACTGCAGCCTTGAGGCCTTGACGTCTGATCCAACAACCTCTGCGTTCACCCTCATCCAGTCCCACTCCCYGCTGTGCTCACTTCACAGCGGATTCTGTCCGTTTCCAGAATGTTCCGACTCTGCTGCGTCAGGGATTCACATGGTCCTCTCCCTCCACCCTCCCTCCACCCTGCCCTCCTGGTCTTCTTCCTGTCTCAGTCTGGGACAGCTCCCACCCTAATAAGCCCCCCCACCCCCACCCCCACACTGCACTTTTCCCAATGACACATGTCATAGCTGGGTTATTTGCTCAGGGTGTGCTTTGCTCCAGATGAGAAGCTCCACGTGACTGGGGACCGTGGCAGTCTGCTCCCGCTGTGTCTTCAGTGTCCACCGCAGTAGATCCCTAGGTGTTCACCAAACAACGTCTTGCTGGATGGCTGCGTGGATGGACAGGCAAAGGGTCTTACTCCAGTGGGTCTGTCATGAAGGAATGAAGGGTGCACATCCTTTGGGCCTCGCTCTTTCCCCCTTGCTACTGTCCTTCCCATTTTACAGATCAGAACACCAGTGTTCCCAGCTGCCAAGTGAGATGGCCGCTCTTTACCCTGGCCGCTGTTTCTCCCCAGAGATGAGACGCTAACTTCTCATCTTAATTTTCTCAGTCCCTCATTACAGCAGAGTGTCATTTCATAAATATTGGATTGTGCTAATACAATCTTCTGAGCTGTTCTAAATAGAGGCATTTGATAACGATCACTGGAATTATTCTGTCGTGACGTGCCTGTGGATTCCAGGGGCCGCGGTGCTGCTGAGGCAGAGAGCATGAAAGCGAATTTGGATTAGGCGGAACTGTTTGTTCTTCTCCTGGGCAAAGGCTGGAATCTGACTCTCTCTCTCTCTTAAACCGAGCCATTTCCATCTCTCCTGAAATCTCTTTTGAGGCTGTTGATTCAGATGTTCCATAGCCTTTTATGGACCCCCTGTGTGTGAGAGACAAGCTCTGTGCTGTTCTTGATCAGGGTAAATCAGAACATGTCATTTTATCACTTAATCCCTCCAGTGGCCTGCCACATAGGATGAAATCTCCACTCCTCTTCATGCCAGTAAGCTCCCCATGATCTAGTGTCATCTGCAAGACCCCTTCTCTCTCAAAATGCTCCAGACACACTGGCTCTTCTCCATTTGTTGGACATGTTGTTCTTTCCTGGCACYGGACCTTTGCACATGCTGTTCCCACTCACGGGAATGATTCTCTCCATTCTTTTCTTGGCCAGTTTCTTCAGGTCTCAGCTTACACAGCTTCCCACAGAGCTCCTTCCTCATCTGTTGATCTAAAGAAGGTCTCCTTTATTGCTCTACTCRGTATATCCTGTTTTTGCTTTTTGAAGCCCCTATCATGGACATACTCACAGGTCAGCCTATTCGAATCTTATACCATAGCTGAATGACCTGGGACTTCCATCCCTTTGCCTCAGTTTCCACATCTTCAACTTGGGGACAAGCATAAGAGTTCAGTGGAGGTCCTGTGTGAGTGTGGACTGTCTACACAGGGCAGGGCTCAGCTCCTGTTGGTTTTTCCAGGTCCTTTTCTGAAAGAGCCAGCCCACCTTAGGACCTGGCCCCTCCTCAGGCTCAGAGGTACCAGATGCTGCTGTTCCTCAGGTGGTTGGTGTTGGCCAGAGAGGCTTCCTGTCCCAGCATGCACTGCARCCTGGAGGGCTGGATGCCTCCTCCCTGGGTCGGACTTTACCTGTGCCACGGTCGCGCTCCTCCTCATCCCACTCCTGGGCCAAGCTGTCGATCGGGCTGGCATMCTAGGTTCAGACCTGGTTTCCCCGCTCGTCCACCTGACTGGACTCTCACAGAGGAATGGGGGTTGCTTGGCCCATAAACCCTCTCTCTGGATCTCTCTCTTGTCCATGGAACTGACAGATCTCCTCCAGCCTCCCCCATCCTTGGTGGAGCCTGAGGAAGAGCGGGAACCAAGCAGGAGGGCCTCTTGGGGACTGTAGAGCCACATGAAGCCCAAAGGCAACAGGGCTTGGGAGTTTCCCTCTGATGCCTGCAGGACATTATTTTAAGTGTCAGAAATGAAGAAGGGATGACCTCAGGCTGCCCCCTGAGTTTTTGTCTCTCTTGTATCTGCTGCATTTATCTCTCTTATTGACATCCACTTCGCTCTGACCCTGAGCCCCTGGAGAGGCGAGATGTTAAGTTGGAGTCACCACTGGGTCCCCCATTCCCCAGGGTTCCGTGACTTCCTGGAGACTTAAGCCAGCCCTTGTRATATATCCTCCAAGGAGCTGGCTCCCTGAGGTCCCCTTGTGACTCCACTGCTTCCTTCCAGGGCTAGGAGCCATTGTCTGGGCTCAGCCAGCCCAACTGCCCCACCCAGCATCCCTTCTGTGGCCTGCCCCTCCTCGGGGTCTGCTGCTGAGCAGGGCAGGGCCAGAAGACCCTCTCTGTGCCCCTCCCAGGGTGGGGATTCTTCCCGAGCCTTCTTAGCCCTCAGAGGCACCTCGCTCTTGGCCTGGCGTCTCTGCAGCCCACATCCTACTCTCTAGAGTAAGTTTAAACTTGGGGGAAAAAAAAAGAAGAAATAAGGGAATCCTGACCTCAAGCAGCATCTTCTCTGCTTCTCCGCCCACGTGTATTTCTAGAGCAGGGAAATACAGGGAATGGCAGAGTTGCCTGATGGGAGGGAGGGCAGGGACAGGGACGGGGCCCTGTCTGGGGGAACACCCAGGTGCACAGGCATCAGGAGGTTTCAGCCCGTCAGCCTGACACGGCAGCAGGAGGGGGCCCCCGAGGCGGTGCAGGCTTTCCTTCAGGCCCCTGGGCCTCGGCTGTGTGTTCCCACCTTGCTCTCACTGCTGAGGGTATAGATAGAGGACTGGGGACAGTTATGGATAGAATTGTCCCCTCCAAAGGTGAGCTGAAGTCCTAATTCCCGGTGCTGTGAATAGGACC